TTGTTTTGAGCTCCAGAGCCACGTGTCTATAATTTTACTCAGCAAATATTTACCAATCACCAGGATAATAAAATACTAAGATTTGCCATTTACGGAGCACTTGAAAGTACTTTCCTTCTCAGCCTCTAACCCGCAGCAGCCTTGGGGAAATCTTCCTCCTTTTACAGATGGACAAACCAATTACAATATGAGATTGGTCTGGGGTTTCTGGGGTAACCTTGCGGGGAGAATCCAATTACTCACTCAGGCACACCCACTGGCAAGGATGAGGAGAGACACTTTAGCTGGGGATGTAGAAGGCTATGAGGAGTAACCAGAAAAAGCCTCTACCCATGGGGCTCTGACGTGAAGGGAGAGGTCCTGGCACACAGAGCAAGTGCGCCCGGTACCCGGTGCCGCTGGCAGAGGCAGCTGTGCCCTCTGGAGGGCAGAACTGCTGTTTCTATGTGGGGGGCCTCGGAGTCACTGCAGGGGTCTCAAAGGATGTGTTCATTCTGGAGGGAGCGTGGGGAAGGGGCCTGCTTATGGGAGACAGGAAGCCCAGAAGGGAGCAAAGTGGGGGGCGGGGGAGCGGGGGAGGTCAAGCAAAGCCTCTCTGAGGGAGCCCCAGTGGTGGCAGTGTTTGGGAATCTGGTCTTTGGGGTGAAGGGACAGACAAGAGCTGGAGGCTTTAGGCTGGGCTCTGGGCTGAAAGGCAGGCAGAGAAAATGAAGGCAGAGCCCATCTTCAGGACCAACGGGACCTCGACACAGAGTGTCACCTGAGCCTGAGGCTGTTTGGGGGGGCCAGGCCACAGCCACCAGAGACCCCAGCAAATGGAGGGGTGTGACCCCTTTTTCCATCAGGAGCTGGGTGAGTGGGGAGGTGCAGTGCAGCCAGAAGAGGGGACTGTTGGGGAGGCCCACAGCGGGGACCTTGGAGGCCCAAACCTGGGCCAGCCAGCCAGAAGCAACAGAGCCCAGGAATGGTGGGGAGAGTAGAGTGGCCTGTGTTGGGGGCAGCTTGGCAGGGATGGAGTGAGGAGCGGAGGGTGGAAACAGCCTGGGAAGGGCTTTTCCTGCCAAACATCAGAATGTGGGCACTGAATGTGGGCGCTGGGGAGAGGATTGTTTTGTGAGCCCAAGAATGCTGTGGTCAAACCTGACCCTGGCACTCCTACCCCCGCCTCTCTGTCTCTGGCACCCATAAAAATGCTTCTGAAGATAAAGAATTTGTCTTTTGTTTCACTAGTGAAGTCCCAGCACCTAGAACAGTGTAGTCACTTAGTAGGTGCTTAATTAATATTTGTTTAATAAGTACATAGAACCACAAGAAATATAAGGTCTATGGGAATACACTAGTGTAATGAGATACACATATAACATTTTAAAACTTTGCTGGAAAATACATAGCATACATTAAAAGATAACAAATAAAAAGAAAACCAAAAATTTTAATAAAGCAAATATTAAAGAAAAGAAAGAGATGCACACCAGTAGCCAAAGTGTGATCACTTTAAGGGAGAGAGAAATGGGGTTGAAATAGACTAGAAAGTACATTTTGATTGAGTCTGATTTTTTTTTAAAGATTTATTTATTTATGCATACAGAACTGGGGTGCAGGCCAGAGGTATAGGGACGGTGAGCAAATTCACCAGAGACAGAGCGGGGAGTAGAACAGGCAGATCGACGAAGTACACTGCTGAGGGAAGCAGCGGGCGGGTCAGGAGAGGTCTGCCACGCCATGTGGTCACCTCCCAGGGTGGGGATCGAACTCGCGCTACAGTGGCTTTAGCTTCTTAGTGCTGTGCTTTAGCCCGCTGCGCCACCAGGGAGGGCCTGATTTTTTTTTTAATAAAGAAAGTTGAAGGGCCTCCCTCGTGGCCTGGGGGGTGAAGTCTCAGTGTTATCAGCGCTATGACCTGAGTTCAGTCTCCCACCAGGGAGCTGACCCACGTGGCTCAGCAGACCTCCCCTGGCTCCCAGCTGCTCCCCTCATCTGTTCTGCTCCCCACTCTGTTTCTGGTGAATCCTCTCACTGCCACCCCCCATACCTTTGGCCTACACCCCAGATCTTCTACATAAAAGAAAATATGAAGAAAATATGATTATTGCAAATATCTGCTAAATCTGAGTGAGTATATTGGGTTCCCATTATGTTATTTCAGCACTTAAAAACATTCCTTACTTTAAAAAGTAAGACAAAGGCAGGCGCTCCCACTGTGCCCAGTGCATTGACTTTGTCCTCTGCAGAAGTTGCAGGGGCTGGTGAGGCCCGGGACTTCCTAGCTCCCAGGCAGGCCTGGGTGGCTCCGTGGTGCAGCTCCTGCAGGCTTCCGTGGGAACAGTGCTGCTCTGAAGTAGAGAAGCCCTGGTTTGTTCCCATCTTTTTTGGAGCCTGAAGTTCAGAGCAATTGTTTATAATATCATGGCATTTGAGATATAATTTTTGATGGAGGCTCATTGACGGTTTCTGGTGCTGTGATGTCATGTTCACTGTCTCTGTGTGGCCTCACTCTTGTGGCGCACAACCTTGAGGCCACACGTTTGTGAACTTGGATCCCTACCGGCTTCAGGGAAAGCAGGTACATAGTCCACGCCGAGAAGACATTTGAGCCCAAACTCCATCTTCCCAGCTGTGTGACTTATTGATGCATCAACCACTCTGAGCCCAGCTTGCTCAGCAGCAAAATGTGGAGCATTGAGAGGCCTCAGAGAGCTGAGGTAGGGAGGCAGCTGCACCCGAGCCTGGTGTACAGTGACGCTCAACACACATGAACGCTGCCTGCCGAGGGCTTTCTCCCTCCTGCCTCTTTATTTTTTTTTAAGGTTTATTTACTTATGCTGGGGTGCAGGCCAGAGGTGCGGGGCAGTGAGAGGATTCACCAGAGACAGAGTGGGGAGCAGAACAAGCGGATCTACTGAAATACACTGCTCAGGGGAGCAGCGGGCGAGACAGTAGGGGTCTGCTATGCCATGTGGGTCAGCTCCCTGGCCGGGGATTGAACTTGAGCTGCGGGCAGCTTCCATGCTGTGCTCTAACCCTTTGCGCCAGCAGGAAGGGGCCTCCTTCTACTTCCTCCTACTCCTCCCAGCCGTGGCCACCCTCCAGGGCCCGTGCAGATGGACCTGCTCCGTGAAGTCATTGTTCACGATCCAGGGGCTCCCATTACTGGCTGCTTAATAATCCTGGTTAATTTTTTCCATCTGTTTATTTATATATTGCCTTCTTCAATGGTAAATCTTTTCAAAGTGGGAACCCCATTTCAGGCATTGTGGGTGGTGACGGGCCCACTGGTATGGGAGGTAGGTGTCCTGGGTTAAATTCAGCTGGGTAAATTGGGGTTGCACGTAGCTCTGGGACTGCCATTTCATCAGTAAATGGCCTCTCACACGGTATCTAGAGGATTAGTTTAGACAGTCTGGGTGAAGCATAATTAGGAGTTTAATAAGTATCATTGAATGCACTTAGAGCACTTTGAGAAGTGAAATTCCTTGCAAATGGCAAGACTTGCATTTGTTGCTTAAAGAAACAGCTGTCTCTGATTTTAAACTTAATGTTGTCCTTGGTTCTCCCCAGGGTCAAGATGACCACAGCCACCCCTGTGGGAGACACCCCCTTCTCCTTGAACGTGACCAACAGGGAAGAAGACTTTCTGTACAAGAGTAAGGTCAACTTGGCCTGGTGGTCCTGGGCGGGGGGCTGGGACAAATGACTCAGGCAGCTCCTGGTGCAGAGATCAGGAGCATGGGCTCCGCGTGAGTCTCAGTCCCACTTCCACCCATGCCAAAGACGTGACCCTGAGTCTGACATCTCATTGCTCCGTGCCTCGTTTCCTCACCTGTAAGATGGGAATATTAAGGAAGTTCCCCTACAAAATAGGGTGTGAGAGCTAAGAGATAATTCACTGAAGAGCTTTGCATAACCTCAATGCTTACCTAGGGCATTATTATCACAACTATAAGGCAACACACCCAGGGAAAGTGAAGAGATGGGAGTCGAGGAGCAGGCTGCAAGATGCAGAATGCTGCTCCAGAGCAAGATCCTGGCCTTTTTATTGACTGAGAAAAGGGTGTGCCAGACTGAATATTGGATTTAGGGCGGGTGAGTCTGCTGTTGTACTCCCGACCCCACCCACAGCTCCAATCTTATTCACAAGGCGCCCACTGATCAGCCCCTGGAGGGAAAGTACTTCCGCCCCCCACCCCGCTGCCACCTTGGGCTTCCAGTCATCCCTGGGGGTGTGCACCTATTGCCCCAGGGTGATCAAGTGCAGTCCTGCTCTTGTCTAATTGGAAAGGAGCTTTGTACACCCACCACGCACTATTATTTTCATTAGGAAGTCTTGTGGATTCCAGAACAATGCCAGTCTGAGATATCCCTAATGGGTCATCTTAGGATGCAGCTACTTTCACACTGTTTTCATAAGGCAAGAGCATCCCATCAATTTCCAAAGGACTAAATGGATGAAGGTGGGGAGTTAGTCCTGGAGCAACTTTGGCCAGGAACAAGGGCTCCCCAGGAGAATGTTGAGGCCAGCTCTTCACTTGGTTGCATAAGGGCACATTTGGGGCCCCTCCGGTCATTTCCATTGAAACGGACACACCTCTGGGACAGAAGGGACTTCCCGACACACGCGGCCTTCTAGGGATCAGCAGCTCCTGGCTGCACCCCTTCTTTGAAGACCCAGCAGCATGGATCTCAGAGAGGGTCCCCTGAGTGGGAGACCAGCCCCACAGCTGCGTGTGCTGAGGTGTGTCTCAGACAGATCAAAGGTGAAATGCCAGGCAGATGGACACACTGTCAGTGCAGTGGAAACAATTCTGTCATTATGTAACTGAAAGCAGAGCTTCTCCCCTGACTCGGAAGACATGGGATGGCGGTCAGGCTGCACTGACATTTCTCAAAGTTGCAAACGCCTATCATTAACTTCTTCAAGCACATTTCAATGTTCTTTGGAAAACATGAAAGAGGTGCGGAGGATATGTGGGATTCATTGCTCAAATACATCCGCACATAGTAGGTTAACATAGTTAAAAACATTTTACTAGAATTCTTGTATACTAGTATATTATGTACATTGAGAATATGCAAGAGAAGGATGATAATGCTGTGTTTATAAAACTTTGCTGACCACAGATTGTTTTTAAAGATAATCTTACTAGAACAGACTTAGAAGGAAAATTAATAAAAACCAATAGGTTAAATGTTATCTTTGTTCTTAAACATTTATGAAGAGTGAGAAGAGTAAAAATTATCTATTGCATTCTAATAAATCTAAGATACTGATTAGTTGGGGTCACCAGGGAGTGTCCCAGCACAGGGCTTTCTCTCCCCCTCCCCTGCACCCAGTGGGGGTCCCTTGCCCTGACTCTCGTGCTTCCTGCTGGTCTGTTCACTGTCTCCCCTCCACACCTCGCCTCTCTGTAGGTTCGGGAGCCATCGTTGCCGCCATCGTGGTGCTTGTCATCATCATCTTCACTGTTGTCCTGATCCTGCTGAAGATCTACAACAGGTCCGGGATGCCGGGGGTTTGGGGTTGGTGCCTGCCAGTGTCAGACGAATGAGAACTAACCCTGTGGGTGCCTGTCGCATGCCCGGTCACCACCAGAGTCCAGCGCTGCAGGCTTCCTTTTGATGTTTGTTCTGTTAGAGAAACTTCACGCTGACCAAATATCTTTGGACTTGGAGAAATAGTTTTGAAGTACAGTGATGATGATGATGAGGTTGTAGGTTGAGTGCGGGGTCCTCGGAGTTACTCTGGGAAAGATTTCTCCAGAGTGCCCCTTTCAGTGGCATGAGGTGAGATTCTCCACAACACAGACATGTCAGATATATTTAAGGAGCAGGTTGGTTAGAAAGGGGGCAGAAAAGAGAAGGGCGCTTGCATAGATGCAAGCGGACAGGAAAAGCTGCCCTGAAAGCGACAGGTTTGCTGAGAGGTCTGCAAGGTTGCAGGCAGGCACCTTAGGAGAGCGGCCTCTGCTGAGGGAGGTCAGCGCAGAGAAACCCCTGGCAGGTGCAGGTCTCAGGCAGGCAGGAAGTTGCTGCGGAGAGTGGGGGGGGGGTGAAAGGACACCTGCACAGCCACAGGTGGGCAGAGTTTGCGGCCCCTCTGTGGGGCAGTGCTGGGTTTTATCATCTTCTTTCAATAGGGAGGGGCTCATCTTCCTGAGTGGATGGTTTGTCCCTTAATCCCACATCCTCACCTTCAGGTCTGTACTCTTGATCCTCCCTAGAGCTGGATTAGTGACTCTGTTAACCCCCTCTATCCCCATCTCCTGTGTGAAAAAGATTCCTGACCTTGCAGCATCATTTCCAGTTTTTCTATCCTTATCCTCCATCAATAACATTGACCTGAGGACTATGACAAACACTTGCATGTAATTTACAGATAATCATAGTGCATTTCAATCCTCTTTTCTTAGGGAGTCCTCTCCTAGGCTATACTGAATGAACCACATGAGTATTTCAGGTGACAAATATTGGAATGCACTTAGTGGTCACTCCACTTTCTAGACCCATGAATGAGGAAATAAAAATTTAAAAACCAGGAATAACTTAACTACAGTAGAAATGTATCATCATCTGTAGAGACAACTATACTAAAAGTTTACTCTTTTTAAATATTTTTTTAATTAAAGAGTTAAATATAACCACATCCTAGAACTGGAAGCCACTTGGAGAAAAAAGTATTCTATCAGTGTATTGATTGCTGAGGAAGCTATTTACAATATATTGTCAAATCTTTGACACCGTTCATTCACTAGTGAAGAAAAAATGAAATACTGAATTTAGGTTAAACGAGAAATTGAAGGATCAGATTAGCTCATGCCTAAGGTCCCTTCTCATTGTAAAACTGGTTGACAATCAAGCAACATGATTTAATGATGCCTTGCATTTGTCTTCTCCCCCAAAGCTGTAGTCACAGAGCCCTTTCACCAGGACATAAAAGAGAAAACTCAACCAAACCTATGTATCTCGTTACAGGAAAATGAGGACAAGGCGGGAACTGGAGCCCAAGGGCCCCAAACCGGCGCCCCCTTCTGCCCTGGGCACAAGCAGCAACAGTAGCCAACATCCAGCCACTGTGACCTTCAGCCCAGTTGATGTCCACGTGGATACTCGGTGACCCCCACCTTGATGCTGTCTTGGCCACTGCCTAGGGAGTCTTCTCCAGTCAAGACCAAGAAGCACTTTCTCTTCTGGCAGCTTCACTGAGTTCCTTCTGGTCAAGTTGACAGGGGCATTTAGGCTTCAGGCAACACCCAACCCTGTCCAGCTCCACCCGCCCCCAGCACATCCTTGTCCCTGTTGCCACCCCCCCCCAAAAAAAGCTGTGGGGCATTCCTGTTTCCTGACAAGGCGGTGCTCTGTAGAGAATTCCCCTAGGTGGGTTTAGCTCTCGCTTCCCCCCAAACACGTGCGCTAGATAGACAGACAAACTGCCAGATGCCAAGTCTTCTGCTCAGGAGTCAGGGTTCAGGGCCAGGCCCTGAGAGTCTTAAGTGGGTCATGTCAGAGTAAAGGCCAAGTCCACAGCTTCAGAACAAGAGTCAATTCCCATAACCAGGCACAGGGGAACTAACTTGGACTAACTAACCAGAAATCAACCTGTTAACTAATCACTTGTTCCAGAACTAGATGACTGTTAACTGTCTCATGATGAACAGTGAGCATGTTTTTCCCTCTTTACGAATGGTTACTGGAAAAACCTTTCTTCTTGAAAGGTTTCATTAGCACAGAGTCAAAGTAAAAAGGAGGTTGGGATTTGGAAAAGGGGCCTTGGGGATATTGGGTCGGAGGACAGATGCTTTTGGCCCAGATTGTGGGCCTAGAACAAACCTGCTGGCTGGCCAGTTCCCTCCTTCCCTTCCATCTGGGGCTGGATTAACCTTGACTCAGTCTTATTTCTTGGCTCCCCTTCAGTGTGGATTCTAAATAATCCCAACTTCAAGTTAACACCTTATCTCCAAGGACTAGTATTTGGATATCAGTTAGATTACAGCTCTATTTATATTACCTATGCCCTTCCTGGTCACCTTGCAGGGGAGCACTGGACAAATTTAAAAGTACCACCTTCACAAACCATTCTCTGTAGTGAACTAATCCCCTGGCCTCCTTAACCTGGAGAACAATCTACTGAGAGTGGAAAGCATTTGGGAATTAAGAAGACCTACCTGAAAGCCCTACTTCCTGGCTATGTGACCTTGGAAATGACACTCAACTTCTCCGTATTTGGTTTCCTAACCCCAAGGGAAATGATGACATCTGCCTCACTGGGTCACCACAAGTCAAGGACTTAGTAAAGCAGAAGGCATCACCTGCACCCAGCAGAGACTCAATGATCTGGAAGTAGCAATAGTGTCTCTAGTTGCAAGGCAGTAGCGGTTCACATTTCAATGATTCTGAAATCAGAATATGTCTTAAAATTGATGGTTCCCTTAATGTAGTTTATTTTTCTTCTTTCTCTTTTAAAAAGCTATACTATAATCAATTGCACATCTTACAGTTGATGGCATCTTGGAAAAAAAAGGTTCAGAAAGTGACACATTAACCTCAAATTCTAGGACTCTCTTCTTGGGGTCAGAAATCCCTTTTGAGGGGAATACCAAGAGTCAGCTCATGTCATCTCATTATAAAAAGTCCTTACTCAATTATGTCTGGAAAGCTACTGGCAAATTCTCCCATCCTATGTCTCTTTTTTCCCTACTGTGCTTAATTCTCCACCAAGAACCAGACACTTTGCAAGGTGCTTTCATACAAAATTATCTCATTGGCTTTATATCTCCCAGTAACTCCAGGAAATGCTTTTTTTTTTTTCTATTTGAAGATGAGAACTTCAAGCTCAAAAAGAAAAAAATATTTGTCCAAATCATACAGCTAGTAAAATGCAAGACAAGACTCAGACCCAGACCTCCTTGGCTGCAAAGTCCACCCTATTGTTGTATTACCCGCTCTTTGCTACCATTTGGTTCAAAGAACATGGGGTCTTTGTGGGGTGAATAAAAGGGGAGGTTGTCCATGTGTCTGAGTTTAGGTCAGGAAGTTTCCAAACCTAGGACATCCTAGGTTTGGGGCCTCAGAATCATAGCCAAAGTTTCCTTCCTAAGCCCACCTGCCCCGTGAGGCTTCCTGCCCCTTTCACCCAATCACCTCAGCCCAAGGAGCAAGGGGCTGGCATCTAACCAAGGCAAAGCCATCAGTTTAAGGATTACCACCACCACAGATAGATTTACTTCCCCAAAATTCTGTTTTAAATTGGGAGGGGAAGGAGAGGGTTGGAAAGTTCCAGTCTCTTCTGCCCACAGTGGAATCTTCCTGTACTATATGTTCTTGTGAAAGCTGAAAAGTGGAGGGAAGAAGAGGCTGCAGAGAGGTGAGGGAGAAGCAAATAGATGGGTTTTAGTCTTTTTAACTAATGACAGTAACTCCATAAGCATCCTTTGAGGGTGCCTGTGTACAAGTTGAGGTGCTAGCAAACACGTTATGTCACAGTGTCCACTCTCAGCTGGCCGCCCGTGACAGGGATCTTGCCACACAGTTGTATAACTTGTTTCTGACAGGTGCCCTCCCTGGCTGACCAGAGGCTGCTTTATTTGGCCACTGAATCAATTAAAGATATGAAATGCTTAAAGAAAAATGTCTCCTGGTCTTTATCCCCACCGGACAATGTTATCTGTAAGTAGAGTAATACAGTGCAAACACTTATTTCTGCCTTCTGTGTCGCAACAGGGTATCTGATACTTGTTCCTAGGGTCACATAAAGTTGAAGGTCATTATTTCTCATTGTGGTAATATTTTATTTTATGGCTATAACTTCACTTTGTTATCCACTCTACTGTCTGGTGTACAGAACTTATCGTCTAGTGGGCCAGACAAACAACGAAACAGGGTTATCCTCTGTGATGGGAGGAAGTCCAGGGGGTTGTGTAAGCCTCTTGCTGGTGTAGATAATTCAGCCTGGGGTTTGGTAGGTGGGAAAAAAGACTCCCCAGAAGAAATAAAATCTAAACTGAGGGAAAGTGGACTAGGAGTTTGTCAGGGGCAGCTTGGGAAGCGAAGAAGAGAGAGAAGCTGTAGTTTGGCAGGTGGTGGTGGGCTGGGCAACGGGAGTTGGGCTAGGAGAGAATGAGGTTTCAGTCTGAAGATCTCTTTGGGTGCTAAAAGCAGCGGGAAACCACTGAAGGTGCTTGAGCATTGAAGAGACAAGCCCAGATTTGTGCTTTAAGGAATAATGCTGCTACATAACGCTCAGAATGGGTTGGCATGGGAGAGACAAAAGGCTAGAACAGTCTAGTCTATTCCAAGAAGTAGCAGGCACATCTATGTATCTTTCTGTGTTAGCTTTCAAACACTTTTACTCAGTAGCATTCTAATTGTCAAGTTGGGTTCTTTTTCTTTTCTTTTTCAGCACTATTTGTGGGTGTGCAGTAACCCAACAAAAATGTCTCCAGGAGTCGATGTAGGCCCACGGGATGGGAGCACACAGTAGGGCATTGTCTCAGCTCTGTAGCTCTTTGTCCAGACACCCGAGCCCTTCACAGAACATTCCCTGGCAAAGGAGCAAACTGCTGTGATTCAGCAGATACCACTGCCCCTGACACCACCGGTCGGCCCACCTGTGGGAGAAGCAGGTAGAAATGAGATGACCCTCATGTGTCTGATGACACGAAACTGACCACAGGCCAAATGGTAGCAGAGAGGCCCCTTATCAGCGTGACACAATCTCTTGAGTGACTTATACCTGGGGGCTCCTGATGGCCTTACAGAATCGTGAAGCACCTTATTGACCTTAGAGAAATAGAACCAATTTGTTTATTCCTTCCAACTTTCCAGTTCTTGCCTTGGGAGGGTGGAAAAGTGACTAAGCAAGCGAGCAAACATTCATGTATGAATAGTCACGACCTGGAAAAAGCCTCTGTGAACTGGACATTTGGCACTGCATAATAAAGGCCGAGGGGCAAGGAGGGTATTTTGTATATTTTGTTCTGCTCGTTTGCCCCCTGCACAGCTGGGGGAGGGGCAGCAACAGAGACAGTCCGCCACCTCTTTCAGGGCAGATTGCCATCTCCCATACGCCCTGGGTGCCTGCTCCTATTTTTCTTCTTCGATCCCTTAATTTACTTGGTCTTATATTAAAAACAAACAAGCAAAACTTTCCCTTGATCACCCAGCCCCCTTCAGGCACTGCCCACCTGACTTCCTTGACATCAAAATTCTTCAAAATACCTTATCAGGGCTTCCTTGGTGACACAGAAGTTAAATTTTCAGCCCTATGAAGCTATCGCCAGCCACTGTGGCATGAGTTTGATCCCCAGCCAGGTGGTGACCCCCATGGCACAGCAGACCTCTCCTGTCTCACCCCCTGCTCCCCTCAGCAGTGAATTTCAGTAGATCTTCTTGTTCTGCTCCCCCCACTGTCTGGTGAATCCTCTCACACCCCACACCTCTGGCCTGTACCCCCATTCTTATATGAATAAATAAATACAAATAAATCTTTTTAAAAAGCACCTATCAGAATAATGTAGGTGAGGACAATCTGGGCTGAAGGATGAGGAGTGGCCTATAGCCGTGGACAGAGGGCACGAGGAAAAGGAAAGTGGACCCCACATGGGGACAATAGTGGAAGGTCAAGTGGAGCCACTGCTTCTGTCCCTCTGGTCAGTTTGATGAACTGAGATTGGGCACCTCCAGTGAATGGTGACGGGACTGTGGATCAGGGCCCTGGTGCTACAGAGGAAAGGGAGGGTGAAGGATGAGGGTGGAGCTGAGCAACCAGGCAGAGACGTAAAGGAGAATATACTGGAAGAGAACTCTTGGAAGAACACACAGGAGGGGGCACAGAGAGCAGAGGCACGTGGAGAATCCAACCCCACTTGCTTCTTAGCTCTTGGCCTGCACCAGGGGCCTGGGGGCCGTGGAAGGAGACATATGGAGGTGAGACATGGAGACACACTCGGAAAAGATGTGGGTGAGAGACCATGGGGAGGCTGAGGATGGCAGCCTTGACCTTGATTTATACTTGACTTTGCTTCTTTCATTGCCGACTTGCCGGCCCTCTGGTCGTTCCTATATTCCCCACCTGAAGGTGCCTTCGACTTGCTGCAGGCTGTTGGGCCTCAGCCCTGCTTTGATCCCACCCTTTTGGGCATTTACCCACAGGGGGTGGGAAGTTTGGAGAGAATTATTGGGAAACAGTTACTTAAAATACTTTCTTCTCTCTTTCTGATACCATTTGTATAAAAAAAAATCCATCATTCAAAGACTCAGCTTCCTTTGCCTTTGTACACATGTATGGCCAAATTCCTTTTAGAAAATGTACCCCTTAACAGTTTGGGGTACCCTTGGTTGTATGCTAACAGAATCAGGTCAGTGTAAAAGGGATAAATGCCCTTGGGTTTCAAGACAACATTGAACTCTTAGTCTGCTCCCCACCACCACCAAAAAGTATCCCAAAAGTTGATGAATCTGTTAGTGGGTAGAATGAAGGGAACCCCTGGGGCCCCCAAGCCTGCACACTCTAAATGGGTTTTGCTATCCACTGCATAAAGGCAAATTATTTTCTTAGTGCAAAGAACTTTCATAGGACAATGTGCATAGAGAGAGAACGTGGCAAAAAAAAAAAAAAAAAAGAATAATCACACTCAAAGTCACTCATCCCCTTGAGGGCAAAGTCCCAGCCATGAGGGGTAGCCCAAAGGGAGGCCCTGAAGTCTGAAAAATTGCCACATGTCTAAGGCACCTTCTAGCAGGGAACCATAGAAAAGGGGCAGAAGGGACCAAGCAAATTTGGGGTGAAAGGTGCAAAATCAGAGCACAATTCAAGGTAACATCTGCCATTGCTGGGGTCCCCTTGTGTCTCTCACCCATATATGTCTTCCATGTCCCCAAAGTCCCTGGTGCAAGTCCAAGGCGAAGATGCAAGCCGGACTTTTTCCCAAGCTCTGCTCCTCCTGTCGCCTCCTGTCTCCTCTTCCAAGTCTCCTCTAGCTCCACCCCTCACTAAGTGGGCGGGGAATCCGAACCTCTTTTTTATGAGAACAGTCTTAAACATCTGTATGCCTTACTATGTTTAAGGACAGTACACTGAAGAAATAGTTAGGACTCAGTTAACAACCAAATCCATTAAATCACGTCTCGTGGAGTCTCTTTCTAATAGCGAGTCCTGGCCTACCAACCACCTGTTCTCCTGAGACAGTAGAGTGCCATCTAGTGACTTATTACTGTTGTAGAAACATGTAAGAATCAGAAAACCTCAGGTTTCCATGTTTTATGTATTTGATACTTATATACGCAAAAACAGCTTGAAATCGTGTAGGTTGACAGCTTGGCATATTAATTATAAACTGAAACAAGTTTTTAAAAATAATCCAATAGTTTATTTTTACATCATTTTGTGCATTTTTTCATCTCGGTTGTTACCCCGTGGGCTTCCCATCACCAAATCACCTGTGTGCTATCACCATAGTCCAGTGCATTACCCTCCCCCCACTGTTTTGATCCCATTCCTCACTCCACCCCACAAAATGTCTCTGGTATATGACTGTTCATTATTCTTATTATTTTCTCACCTGGTCTGTTATACTTCTGCTATGAGTGAAACCATCTGGTATTTTTTCTTTTCTTTCTGGCTTATTTCACTAAGCATGATCTTTTCCAGCTCCATCCATGTTGCTGCAGAAGACATGTGTTTATTTTTTTTTGGTTGCTGAGTAATATCCCATTGTATATATGTACCACATCTTTTTTTTTTTTAAAGATTTATTTATTTATTCATACAGAACTGGGGTACAGTCCAGAGGCTCAGGGGCGGTGAGAGGCTTC